GTTTGTGTCCTATATTTTCAATAATTGACGTATCCTGTGTCCGTGTCGTGGCGTATCCATGTCGTTGTATCTGTGTCTATGCATCATTGATTACCAGAGAAACCATAAACAGTACTACATTAGGAATGAGTTGGGAAACAAGCAAATTCATTTTTTCAAACGCAGATTTAAAAATTATGTTCACAGGACTTCAGTATCTATCAAAATGTTGTCAATCTAATAGTTAGCGATCACAGTAGTGATGACCACTGCGTCGTTATATGAGATCCTTCCTGCGAACTTGTCTTATTTCACTGAAGGTGACAAAAGCAACATCCCTAGCTAGCGCTCGCGAGGTGAACACCAAATTCACCTCTTCGATTCGGGTTCTTTTTGAACTCACTAGAGAATCTGCTAGCTTGCCACCTACAATGCTGAGTATGGTTATGATAATGTGTACGAAGCGAGGAGGAACTAGTTTATTCCACTACTTTCAGTTTGTGGCTTTCCTGGCTGCCGACATATATCGACGAGTCCAAAACCCTTCAATTTTCCATCCTTGATGAGCTCCTCCATAACGCTTCAAAAATGATGACACTATTCTATTTCATGGTCGTGATCTTTATGGAAGGTGTAATACATTGAAAAATCATCAGCATGCGAAGTCACCTTTATAGGCACAGGGTGCCTAAAGAATTCTTTATTTTGAATGACCTCAACAAGCTCAACCATGGACACTCCTATTGGAGTATAAGTGAGGCAAGTCACCAGATGGTGCGCGACCACTTCTAGATATGGACAAGTAGTGCAAATTGGCTCTTCTGATCCACCCTTGGTGTTGGCGTCCCTATGATCCTAAACGGCCTAGCTTGCAGGGGTGTCCTTGGTTCTTCAGGTCAATGCTAATCCCAAGATCGTTTGATCTCCTATCCCTTCCATCTCTGGGGTGAGTTCTTTCTCTTTCGCAACCTTGACATTGCTCACTTCCAGAGGCCAATTCATAAGGGCTAGTGGTAGAGAAGGACTAGGCCACTCGATTGTACTCTTTAGCATTCAAGTGATTCATGTCCAGCTATAACAATTCAACAACTGTCTTTGGCTACTCCCAGCAACAGGCGAGTGGATCACATAAGTGTCAATTCCTTTAGCATCGTGAATAACAAACAATAGTTAAGGGCATCATCAACATCGAACGGAGAGGTTATCAACTCGAAGGTAGCCACATGGCTAGTTGGATCGAACTTGCTCGATAGAACTCCAAGTTTGGCACTTAGAACTTAGGAGGCAATTTTGTTTCTGGCTCGCCATATCGGCGGGCTATAATTTTCACCACTCTACAACATGCAACGTAATTAGAAATCGATGTTAAAGTCAATGCTCTATCTTCTGATTGCCTAGGTCAAACTGTCGAATTAGAAGAACTTTCAAGAGTGTTGTCGCATCGGCTCGCCATTGTAGGCTACCCAAGACATCTTTGAATGTTTCCATAATCCCCTCCTACATTTCCTGTAGGTCTCGACAAGCAGCATGTTCACAAAAAGTTGAACTCACTCCTTTGTTTGAGCTTGTTTTCTTCTCAATGACATCAAACCACGCTCGTTGTACCTGTGAGGATGTTGGATCCAATTTGTCAATGGATAACATCTGACTTTACTAGAATAACGACCTGATGAGCTAGGATCTATGAGAATGGAGAGCAGAGAGAATAAAGAAAAACCTATAGAATGATAAAGAAACTATAAATCTTAAAACTAGTACAATATCCACCATATCAGCCAAAAGTCCAGTATAAGGTTCCAAATTGTTCCTCGTCACTTCTTATTTATAGGATTTTGAAGGCTACAGAAAAGGCAACATGAAGAAAAAGAACAAACTACAATGCTAAATAAATCACCCATATAAGGCTATACACTACCCTAGACACATGTCGTCCCCTGATTGGCTGAGAGAAAGTGATGGTTACAGAGTTCCATCAGTTTTTCTCGGGCGAGCTCAATAGTGCCAATTATGCACTGGGCGAGCTCTATAGTGTGGGCAAGTTTGGTACTACCAAGTAGGAGTGGGTGAGTCTGCGAGCGAGTTTAGAGGAGGAGATGCTTAAATGCTCCAAAAGTGACTAGCAGTCTGTGCTGAGCCTTATATTGCCTAGGTGAAAAGGCGAGTGATATGTGATTGTTGATAAGTTGGGCTTAGTGAACGCTAATCATGATAGGGCAAGCTGAGGGTTCCCTAAGATGGCGCTTTCATGTAGCAATCTGAAGAAGACGGCCACTCTAGAAGATAGCAAGTGTTTGAGGCCACTTAAAGGAGCGTGTGACTGAAGTGGTGGTCCAGGGACATGGCAAGTTGTTAGCTTGATGAGGAATCATTGATTCATCCCTCGATGAGTGAGCTCCTTGATAGGCCTAGGTGAGTAGTGCCTGATGATTACTCTGGGTGAGTCCCCTGCGAGTCTCAGGTGCCTCTTGTAAGGCGAGTTTTGTTTATGAGCCCCCTTAATAGCAAGTTCCTCTCCATAACTTGGCAGCAACCTGTTAGATATCTATGAAGGCATACACGAGTATATAAGTACAACAATAGAAGTTCAACAAAGCAAGAATGTTCTTCAATGGAATCTAGGTGTTGATGAATTACATGATAAATTGTTGCTTAAAATTAAAAGGAAAAAAAAAAAGAGTTAAAGCTTCCCAAAGGAAAGTAAGAGAGCCCACACAATGATGCCTCCTAGATGAAGAGGAATCAACACCTTAGCATATTGCTAATGATGAGGAAAGGGATGATAGACTTAAAGCAAGCAACGTGGTCAGATAGGTCCAAGTTCCCACTATAAATCTTCATGAAAGCCAATAAATGACTCATAATATCTCTAAAATCATTGGAGAATAATTAAAAATCTCTTGTTGGTTTATCAACCATACCAATCAAGGAAATAAAATTTTTAAAATTTGATTAATTTCAGGACCACTCTATCTGTCCTATTTGGCCAATCAAAATTTTTATATTTTTTAAATTTTAGATTTTATTTTATTTCTATTATTTTTTTATTTGTAACTGGAAAATTTATCAATCCATATAATAAAATTTTATTGGCTAATAAGACTTCAAAATTTTCTAGACATAAAAAACCTATAAATAATATCTTGTTTTGAACTTTCGATTCATTGAAAAAAATTATACATATATAAATTTCATATGGAAAGGCTTGATGGCTTATATACTTATTAGTGGCTGATGAGTCCTTAGTTATCTTTTTTCACCCTTACTCCTATTTACAAACACAATCCTCATCTTTTCTACATAACCTAAATCCAAGCTTCCCTCAGCCCCAAAATGCATCTAACTTCTTCAAAACTCTCCTAAATATTCCCTTGCATTCCTCCTAAACTCCCAAAGTCCCAACTCCACAATAACCCTAATATACCCTAGCCAAAAGCTCAATATAGAAAGATAATTTCTTGATTGTCTCTTATTGTGAGCAACTGAATTGAAAATATCATAGCTCCCAAATCACATATCCAAAATTCATAAAAAGATCAACATTAGTTCACTAACCTCGTAAACCTTTGATATGAACTTTCTTGTCATTTTCTCCAAGAAATTTATACTTTGATAGCCTAGAGGCTTCAACATCAAATCTATCCAAATCATAAATACCCTTCTCACCACTGCGCACATAACCCTTCCATCATCACTTTAAAGGGGCATCAAACAAGTTAATGTCCTACCATAAATATATTAGTGACCCTACATAAAAATCCTAAAAAGATCATGTAAGAGATTTCAATGTTTCATATAATATGTCTGATTCCTTAAGCCTTCACTCAACTAGTAACCCTATTATCTGTGAGGATGTAGTCGACATTATAGAATTGGCTACACGATATGATAATACACAAAGTACATAATTTTGATTAGGTACAGCTAGCGCTGTAGTGAGCATATATAGTTTAGAATCAAGGGCAAGTAGAGAACTTTAGGAGAGTTTCAAATTTGAGGTGTCACCTTTAATGAGACCTTCGGGAGAACCACACACTCCCACATCCCTCCCCCCCCCCCCCCCCCCAAAATAAACTCACAAATACTTTAGCCAACTTACCAATTTTTTGGGCTAACAACATAAGCAAGAAGATGATTCATGTGTCCCTGAAGCGAATTTAGTAGCTCAATAATGAGAGCTGAGTTGGGTTTTTTTCTTATCAACTTGATGGGATTCAATTCTATGGGACTCGAGACTCTAGCCTACTTTAGGCTTGGCATGTTACAAATGATAGGCCATTCAAGTCAGTTAATAATAAGCGACTTGTTGAACCCAGTTCGGATGAGAGGATTCTCATAACAACTTTATTAAATTTACTTGGATAAATATGAATTTATATCAAGAGTTTTCATGTTAATTCTATTATCAATTACACAAAAAATGTGGTATGGAAGGAAAAGGCCTACTCCTCCCAACTATAACAAAACGTAACATGCAGACTTAGTCAAGAGGCTCATCCTATCCTTTACATTCCTCATTAAATTACTTCAATCAGAGGCAGTGCGATTATTAATTTCCACTTGCTTTTTTTTTTACTAAATAGCCATAAATCTAATATCTTGTGTTTGGAAGACATGATGATTAATTTCCAATTACTTTTTTTGTACTAAATAGCCATAAATCTAATATCTTATGTTTGGAAGCCTTGATGAAAGTGAAGGAAATGAAATGTATTTCACCCAATTTTTTAGTTTGATTCTTTACCTGCAGCGATTAATTTCGCATTTTACTGCCCATTTTACAACTCCTTCCACTAAAATGCGCACCCCACAAAGACTAACCACAAGATCCACCTCAATACTCACTGACTAACACCGAAGCCCCGAATAAATTGTTTTTCAAACAAGTAAACCGTAACATTCCTAAGCATCTCCATGTCAAGAAAAACAAAATAGAATCGACAAAAAAAAAATCCAAATCACTTAAAGTTCCTTCATCAAAACATCTAAAGCTATGAGAATGGGAAAAGATTATAACCCAAGACCTGTTCGATGACGTTTCGCATGGTGAGGCTATCGAAAGCACGCACCAGGGAATACCCCCCGACCATCACAAGCGCCGCCGATCCTCCGTCCCGAAGGATCGTCACCATTGAAGCTACGGAGTCGGAGGTGGCGTACGTGCTGAGAAGACGTGATCTCCCGATGCGAGCACATTTGCCGGCGAATTGCGGATGTACGAGCGACGGGAAGAGAATAGCCGAAGAGTGGTGGAAAATAATGGATTCCTTTAGCAACCGGTGATCCGTCGATCTCACCGGAGGAGATGAAACGATGAGAGGGAACTCCATGGGTTCCCTGTTGCCAGAAGTCTATTACTGTCAACTGTGCACAACGTACGTAATACTTCGTCTTTTGCGCCAACAATTAGCCTCCAGCAAGGATGGCTATGAATATGTGATCCCGATCTCTCGTCAAGTCGGATTCTTAAATGTCCCATAATAAAAAATATATATATATATATATATTTTGAATGGCTGAATATATTTTAAAATTAGTATAATATATAGAAAACTAATACTATATAAATTTTAAAATAAATTTAGAAATTTTAAGTTTATTCTGATTTTTTTTTCTCTTTAAGTCCGATATATAATTTTTCGTAATTAATTTGAATGTTAACCTCTTTATTAAATTGGTCAAAAAATTTATTGCGCGTCTTATTTGATTAAATTTGAATTCAATTTAACTTGATATAAAAAAATATTTAATTGTTGTTAGATTACTTAAATTAAAATAAATAAAATTTTCTTATTGAAGCATTAAATTTAGTAAAAAAAATTTAAAATTATATTTTATATAGGAGTATCAAAGCAATTGACCGGTCAGATTCAGATCCAATTTGAAAATTGACCCACTTAAATTCAATCAATCCATACTCGACCCATTAATAAAAGGGTCAAAAAGATCACCTCGAATACAACCCGCTAGCAACCTGAACGACACAAATCAGATTAGTTAACCCATTTTGGTTAAGAAAAAAAAATTATAATGTTGATATGTCGCAAAAAAATCGGCTTGATCGGGCATGAATCTCGATGCCAATATGAATTAGGAATTTCTAAACTATATTTAGAACCATTCAAACTCTGATTTCAGCAAGCATATAATCAAATTGAATATTTTGAGAAAATAAACCCAATGACTCCAAATTCAGTTTAATTCAAGCCTAAATGAGCCCAAATCAAAAAACCAAAACACTCTTGGAAGCTTCAAAGTATTAATTGGATAATCAAAAAATATCCAAATATGGCATGCTTGTAGTTTAATCGAGCGGCTCGATGAGACAAATCCATCAAGTCCAAGATTGTTGAAATCTTACATCATTAAGGCACATACATGTTTGATAAATGCTCTATGATTAAGGAAACTAATACCACTCGTCCAATGGAATACTCCCAACCTACCCTTGATCTTCTCCATATTTACTATCCATGTCACTCCTAAAAAACTATAATTAACCCCTCATTCTACACATGAAGGAGGAAAAAGAAAAGGAGAAATTTTAAGAGCTCTCTTGCTCCCTCCGTTTAGGGCTTCCACCGCCGAAGTTCTTGTTGACCACCATCGTCTGTCGACTAAGATCCCTCCGACCATCTTCGCCCACCGACTATGATCCTACTGATCAAACAAATATGCCAACACTCTCTTAAGTGTAGCTATCATGCCATTCTCCAACTATGTATTATATATAGTAACCCAACACCCACCTCTGAGGAAGGGCATCATTTGCAATCAACCCTCAATACTAGTGGAATCATTTCAACTGAGCCAGAGCCTGTTAATTTTCTCCTTTCAGGGATTTCCACTTAAAAATCTTGATGTCTTCTATGAATGCTACACCCTACTCTTTCATTTGTATGTGTCTTAGATCTTCATACAAAACTAAGATGATAAATATTATATCAAATTATATTTTTTGGGATATAAACAGACTCCTATAAATGGTGCTTCCATAAAAGTTCAAATGGTCAAAGTTAAGCTCATATTCACTCAAATTAAATGCTTTAAATAAAACACCATTATCACTTATCATAAAAAAAGCAATAAATAAAGATTTCTCTCAATATAATACTGTCGATTACTTAACTTGTCTTAAATGTCTTAAGTTATTCGTATGGCTCTAACCATTAATATGTATGAAGTGCAATTTTATTGTGTATTGTTTTTTTGAAAACAACAACTAAGAGATACAAATGTTCTAAATTTTAAAAGCCAACAATAACCTTTTTCTATAAAAATAATAATAATAATAATAATAAAGGAAGGCGATGTCACACGTTCAATGAGATTTTATTTAATTCATGACCCCGAGAGAGATCCATGTTGACGTCTTGAGAATGATCATGCCTTGTTATTCCTGAAACTTTAATTACAACTTTTTTGAAAGACTTAGCCGTGTATTTCCAGACTATGCATTCTTTGATGTCTGAAAATAAGAGGTAACTGATATGTCGCCATAGAATCATATTGATTGGGCATGAATCTCAATGCAAATATGAATTGGAAACTTTTAAATGAAATTTAGAACCATCGAAACTCCAATTTCATCAAGCTTATGATCAAATTGAATGTTTTGAGGAGATGAACCCAATGTCACCAAATTCAGCTCAATCTGAGCCTAAATGAGACCAAATCAAATGGCCAAAATACTCTTAGAATATTCAAAAGATTAATTAGATGACCAAACAATATCCAAATAAGATATTCTTATAATCGAATCCAAAATAAGATATTCTCTAATATCAGTTAGCTGATGGAACACTCACATCCTACCGTTGATTTTCTCTATATTTACTAGTCATGACACTCCCAAAAAAGTATAAATAGCCCCTCATTCTTCACATGAAGGAGGGAGAGAAAAGGAGAAATTTAAGAGCTCTCTTGCTCCCTCCATCAAGTGTTGCCATCGTCAGAGTTCTTATCAACCAATATTGTCTGCCGACCACGTTCCTTTCAACCACCGTTGTTTGTCGACTATAATCCTTCTGAACTCCGTCGCACATCGACTAAGGTCTTTCTAACCACCTTCGCCTACTAATTACAAACCTACTGATCAAACGAGCATATCAACTCTCTCTTAAGAGTATCTATCATGCATTCTCCATCTTTTATTATATAAAATAAACCAATGGCCTCCTCTGAGGAAGAGCATCATTTATAATCAACCATTAATACTAGTGGAGTCATTTTAATTGGGGCTAAGCCCCGCGGTTTTTCCCTTTTTCAAAAATTTTCACATAAAAATAATGATGTCTACTATAAATGCTACACCATACTCTTTTATTTGTCTGTGTGCTGGATCTTCGTACAAAACTAGAATTCTAAACTTTATACCAGTCTACTACCATGAATATTCTAGGACGAAACAAATGTATTAACTATAAATTTATATTTGTCAAAAAAAAGAAGAAGAAGATTATACCTACAATAAAAAAAATTTACGAAATAAAAGATATTAAACAGGTCATTTTTGGATCAAAAACATGTTTATTTTAGGATTAATCTAAACCATATCAGATATTATTTTAATCATATCAATTTTTTGTCTTCTCTTACGTTGCTATAAATCTTGCACAATGACAGCTTAATCTGAATCATTAATGCTATGTATAAAAGATATTATTTATTTAACAATAAACATTTTTTTTATCAATGAATTTGACATTATTGCATTAATATTAAAAATCATTCTAATCATCATTAAAAAAAGTAAAAAATTCCATTTTATTGCAATCATGACTATCACCCTTATTATAATGATTTGTCAGGATTTAAAAATCTTAATTGTTTATTTATTTTTATGAGCGTTTATCAAAATATAAAATCTTTTTTTAATAAGATCTTTCTGCATAATATTCAGTCGCATTATTTTCTGATGAACCCCACAAACAATCTTATCAATGATATTATCTATCAGTACAGGCTTAATAATTCTGGCGAATAGGATTCAGTGATTTGCTTACGTGGTACAAATCTTATCCACGCAGCCAAGGCTTGTTAGTTTTGTCTTCTCATACCTTCTTCAAGTAGGCCAATATCAACACATAGACTGTAAATTAAAATTTGGAATTAGTGAATATGTGGTATAATTGTACTCAAAATATCTCTATATTTGGCATGAATGACTATGTGAAGAATAGCTGTTGACAGTCAATTGTGTGGAGTCATAATTGAGAATTTTAATAGTATATTTTTTTTATAAAGTTAATTGTACAGTTGATGTAGGAAAAACAACTTAGATATTTTGATTGCAAAGAGCAGTATTTCATCATAAAAATTATTAAAAATAGTACCAAATTAATAACCAAATGAGATTGTTATTGTTATTTCAAAAATAAAATTACGAGAAAGTTGTCTCTTATGGATCCTAATTGTTCGCACATACATATTATGCACGTAATTGTTTTCATAACTAGCATATCTCGTTAGTTGACTACCCTCAAATTCTCTTTTACTCCTAGCCCAAACCAAGAAAGTTGGAAAACAACAAAGTCTACCAACCAACAAGAGTTGAGTTGAGCTGAGCTTAAGCTACTTCCAATGAGAACCAAAGTTACCTCACTTCTAATTTCTCTCATGAGGATATTAAGTCTACTCTTTTTTAGATTGGGGATGACAAAGCTCTTAGACCTGATAGTTTCTCTGCTAAAATTTTCAAAGATTCTTGGAGTATAGTTGGTTCCTCCTTCTCTAAGGACATTAGTCATTTTTGTCATTCTATCTCCTTACTTGATAGATTGAAACACTTTGCTATTACTATCATTCTTAAAGCTCTTCATTCCTCTACAATCGGTGCTTTTAGACCCATTTCTATATGTAATGTGTATTATAAGGTTATTGCCAAACTTCTTGCTAGCAAGCTAAGAAATTTAATGCCCTCTATGATTCATAAGGCTCAGTATGCTTTTATTACTAAAAGAGATATAACTAATAATATTATTTTCGCCAATGATATCAGTTTTAATCATGTTAAGGCTCCTAAAATCTTCTATGCCAAAATTGATCTTACAAAAGCCTTTCGATAATGTGGATAGAGAGTTTTTGTTTAATAGAATGTTAGATCTTAATTTCCCTCCTATTTTTATCAACTAGATTAAGGCTTGCACTGAGCATTTGCCCTTTTTTATGATCATCAATGGTGAAATGAAAGGTTACTTCAACTCCTCTAATGGTTTGAGATAGGGTTGTTCTCTTTCCCCTTTATATCTACTTTCATCATGGATGTCGTCTCCTGTCTGATGTACGTCTCTTGCTTAAATGTTTTTTTTCTCTCCCATTCAAAAGAAGGGTGTGATCATTAATAAGTGTAGATAATGTATTATTTATTGTATTATACTTTTAGTGAAAATGTATTATTTTAGTTGTGTTGTGCACAACAAATATAAAAAGAGCACACAATTCTAAGTATCATCCAACGTTGCGGCGTCGGACAAATCAACGCCCCAGAGCCATCAAGGAAACCACATTTGGGGGAACACCTATAGAAGATCTCAATTTATATTTAGTTAGTTTTTAGAAATTTGTGCAATATTTAAGTATATTGGTGTTTGTGATGATGCTATTAGACTTAGATTATTTTTCTTTTCTCTAAGAGATAAAGTTAAGATGTGTTTAAATTCATTACTCCTAGGCTCTATAACTATTTAGAATAAGTTGGCTCATAAAGTTCTTGTTATATATTTCCCACCTTAAAAAACTATCAAACATAGAAATGATATAACTTCTTTTACTTAGTTTGAAGGAGAATCCATTTATAAAAGTTGGGAAAGGTTTAAGAAAATACTTAAAAAATGCCCTTAACATATTTTATATGAATGGTTGGTTATTCAAATATTTTATGATGGATTAGTAGGATCTCTTATATTTATAACTGATGCTGTAGTTGGATGATTATTAATGTCTACCCCATTTGAGAAAGCCTATGAATTAATAAAGAAAATGGCTACTAATAATTTTCAATGATATACTAATAGGGTAAATCCTATGAAAGTAATAGAAATTTACAAATTTGAAGCTTTATCAATATTGCTTGCATAAGTTATAGCAATTTCTAAGAAATTAAATATAATAAGAGTAAATTCTTGATTATGAATTGAATCTTTGGGGGATCAAAATTCAATTGAAGATAATAATTTGGAAGTGATAAAAATATTAATTTAATTGGAAGATAAAATAATTTATATTCAAATACATATAATTCAGGTTGGAGGAACCATCTTAATTTTAATTAGTGAACTAATATAGGTGGGAACAATCAATGAAACATAGGCAGAATAATCAAGGAGTAAATGGTAACAATTCTTAAAAACCTGCTATTAATCCTAGACTTGCACATACTTAAGGATTTTATTAAGTCGATCAATTTAAAAAAAATAGTATTGAAAGATATATAGTAATACAGTTACGAAATTAATTGCAATTTCAGGATACTTTTATTAAAAATTTGGAAACCCAATTAAGTCAACTTGTTATTTCAGCCAGTACTAAACCTCTTGGATCTTTACCTAACAATACTGAAGTTTACCCAAATGAAAAAAAAGATATTAGTGGAAGTCATTTGAAGAATGAAAATAATGTACCCAAGCCAAATTAAAAAAATCTAGGCAAGTCTGACTAAAGAATATACACTTAGCGTTTCTGGGAGGTAACCCACTTGTGATGATATGTATGGTATCTAGTGCACTAGTTATCTTGTAACTTGTATTATTTTCATATTATGTTATAACTCCCCTTAAATTATATGAATCAGTTGCCTTGACTTCTTATAACTCTCAATCAATCTCCAGCTTCTTATAACTCTCAATTAGTGAATCATATGAATTAGTAGAGGATTACATAGAGTTGTCATATCATGTATCTAATATCATTCAGTACTTTATTTTAAATATAATAAAATTATATCAAATTATTTA